AAGCCGCAGGGCCGGGGGCCAGCGGTGAAAGCTGAGCGTGAGGACACGGCGCTGATTTTAGCCAGGTCCTGGCAGGGACCCAGGGGATTGGGACCACACACACACACACACGAGTGTGACACGGGGCTGGGGCAGGTGTGCAACACGCTGGCCGCGTGCAACGTTGTCCCCCGTGTGGCACTTATCCTTGTGCAACGTGCCCCCCCTGCCCCCCGTGCAATGTGCTCCCCCTCCCCGTGCGAGGCTGTGGTGCAACACACTGCCCTGTGTGAAGCTGCTGCGGGACACGCTACCCCCGTGCGAGGTTGTGGTGCAACGGGGCAGCCTCGTGCAAGCTCGTCTTGTGACACAGCAGCCCTGTGTGAGGCTGTGGTGTGATGTGACTGCCTTGTGCAAGGCTGTTGTGCAACACGGCAGACCTGTGCAAGGCTGCGGTGCATCATGGTGGCCTCGTGCAAGACTGGTGTGATGTGGCAGCCCAGTGCACAGTTGTGGTGTAACACAGCTGGCCCGTGCAAGACTGTGGTGCGTCGTGACAGCCCTGTGCAAGGTTATTGTGTGATGTGGCAACCCCGTGCGAGGCTGTGGTGCAATGTGTCAGCCCTGTGGAAGGCTGTTGTGTGGTATGGCAGCCCCATGCGAGGCTGTGGTGCATCATGGCAGCCCCGTGCGAGGCTGTGGTGCAATGTGTCAGCCCTGTGCAAGGTTGTTGTGTGGCATGGAAGCCTTGTGCAAGGCTGTGGTGCATCATGGCAGCCCTGTGCGAAGCTGTGGTGCAATGTGTCAGCCCCGTGGAAGGTTGTTGTGTGGCATGGAAGCTCCATGCAAGGTTGTTGTGTGGCATGGCAGCCCCGTGCGAGGCTGTGGTGCGAGGGACATCCCCGTGCGAGACCCACCGGCGATGTCGCACATCTCGGCCTCGGTGGCGTTGGCCAGGGCCTCCTCCAGCTCGGGCTCCAGCGTGATCTGCTCCTCCCGGGGGATCTCCCGCGTCGGGTTCTTGGGCACGAAGGGCTTCCCTGGGCACGGGGACACGGCTCGCACCCCGCACGGCCTCACACCCCGCACGGCCTCGCACCCCGCACGGCCTCACACCCCGCACGGCCTCACACCCCGCACGGCCTCGCACCCCGCACGGCCTCGCACCGGCCGGGTGACACCGCAGGCCGTGGTGGACCCTCCGCCCCCTGTGCAATGTGCTCCCCCTCCCCGTGCAACGCTGTGGTGTAACACGCTGCCCTGTGTGAAGCTGCTGCGGGACACGCTACCCCCCGTGCGAGGTTGTGGTGCAACGGGGCAGCCTCGTGCAAGCTCGTCGTGTGACACAGCAGCCCCGTGCCAGGCTGTGCTGTGACACAGCAGCCCTGTGTGAGGCTGTGGTGTGATGTGACTGCCTTGTGCAAGGCTGTTGTGCAACACGGCAGACCTGTGCAAGGCTGTTGTGCAACATGGTAGACCTGTGCGAGGCTGCGGTGCATCGTGGTGGCCTCGTGCAAGACTGGTGTGATGTGGCAGCCCAGTGCACAGTACACCACAGCTGGCCCATGCGAGGCTGTGGTGCAACGTGGCAGCCCCATGCAAGGCTGTAGTGCATCGTGACAGCCCCGTGCAAGGTTATTGTGTGCCGTGGAAGTCCCGTGCAAGGTTGTGGTGCATCGTGGCAACCCTGTGTGAGGCTGTGGTGCAACGTGTTAGCCCTGTGGAAGGTTGTTGTGTGGCATGGAAGCCTCGTGCGAGGCTGTGGTGCATCATGGCAACCCCGTGCAAGGCTGTGGTGCATCAAGGCAGCCCCATGCGAGGCTGTAGTGCAATGTGTCAGCCCTGTGGAAGGTTGTTGTGAGGCATGGCAGCCCCATGCAAGGTTGTTGTGTGGCATGGCAGCCCCATGCAAGGTTGTTGTGTGGCATGGAAGCCTCGTGCAAGGTTGTTGTGTGGCATGGCAGCCCCGTGCGAGGCTGTGGTGCGAGGGACATCCCCGTGCGAGACCCACCGGCGATGTCGCACATCTCGGCCTCGGTGGCGTTGGCCAGGGCCTCCTCCAGCTCGGGCTCCAGCGTGATCTGCTCCTCCCGGGGGATCTCCCGCGTCGGGTTCTTGGGCACGAAGGGCTTCCCTGGGCACGGGGACACGGCTCGCACCCCGCACGGCCTCACACCCCGCACGGCCTCGCACCCCGCACGGCCTCACACCCCGCACGGCCTCACACCCCGCACGGCCTCGCACCCCGCACGGCCTCGCACCGGCCGGGTGACACCGCAGGCCGTGGTGGCCCGGGGCCGGCAGGGGCACGTGGGGATGTGG